AAAAATGGGTCGAAAAGCACCTATTAATTAATGAATGTATATAAACTGATTTACATTCAGTTAAACAATGTTATTGTAATCAGTTATGTTCGGTTAAATATGTGGTCAGTCCAAATTGTAGGACACGCGTTTACGCATAGTTATTCCTACAATTCTTTTGTCGTTTGTGTGTCAGTCATTTTAATTACTTCCGAATTGACTTGTATGGCGTTTTGTTCATCAAGTCTTCTCATTACATATGACGCCCGAGATCACAGAGAACCCGAAGTCGAGAACTTATTTTGAAATCTTCATTGTATCTTTAATATTGGCTAAGTTCACCCAAAGACAACAACATCAATATTGATTGAATTGGACCAGTATTGAATTTTAATTCGTGTTTAAGTTAGAACCTCATGTATTCTAATGCTAATTTATTTTAGAGATGCATAATGTCCTAGAAAGGGGAAAAGCTAATCCGCAAGTTTCAAATTATGTGAGAAACCTGTAGCAATATTATGGACCTGGCTTAATATTGGTTTCTAACTTGTAAACATGTTTTGTTAGATAGGACATCAGATAATGCTACGGAAATATATATATATATATATATATATATATACATACAACCCATGCATCTTTTCTTACTACATATTTCTGTAGCCTTGTGATCGTCTAGAATTTGTCTCTAGCTGTCTTTACTTCTGCTTCACGTTGTGTATTTACTTCTCACAGTTTCTTAAGACGTCTGTCTTACCAGGAATAACAATGCGACAGTTTGCTTCTACATATTTTATATATATATATATATAGCTGAATACAGGTATACAAGCATAGCACAAATTACAATACTATATAGCTAAAACCACTTCTCCACCCTATCCAGCCTCTCGGCTGTCTAGGAACTCAGATGTACCCTCGATCTCTGGAATATAATGCAAGTCTGACTTGCAGGGTTCCCCGGTTTCTTTTAAAGGTAAGTGAATATCATGCACAATAACGCATGATCATGGCCCTGAACTTGTGTAATTAACAAAATGATTGGTTACTTTAAATCAAATGATGCAATTAGAATAATTCCACTCACGTGTAATTCTGGTGGTAAATGAGTGACATATGTTTTCGATAAATAACTCTTTTTTATGTGTCAACTGTCAATTACAGACTAAGTTGATTTAAGTATTTTAAGTACATATCACATATTATGCGAATATGTTATTTCTCAAGCAAAAATTCTACTAAAAGTATTACATTTGTCCCTTTCTTTAAGACTTTTTGCTCGGTATTGGGTAAAAGATCCCTTGAATCCTTTACAATAACCATACCAACATCTGTAGAATTATATAACTATTCATAAATGTAGCAGAAATCTAGAAAATCAACATATATCACCTCCCCCACTTGCAAGATTTATGCTAAATGAACAGGTAGGAGACTCTTAAAAACTTCTATGTGCTAAACCCTATAATTATTCATGCAACAGGCAAATATCAATGATACTATACTATATAACAAAATTGTGAAAACACAAACACACATAATCAAAAATCAAAAATCAAAAGTTGCATGCAAAAGTTCTCCAAAAAAAGTTCATCACTGTAAAATCCTATGAAAATCCACTAAGCCTAAACACAGAAAACACAAATTGTCTTTTTTAAATCTTCAAGTGTCCTAATTTCAAAACACTATAACACATCACATAATGTTTATAAAGTTCAGGTTTCACTTTAAATTCTGTCTCAGGAAATGTCAATATGGTAAACTGGTAAACCATTTCTTTTTCTTGGATGTGTATTGGTCTGTTTCAGCTACCATAGTATCAAGTTGAAACTTCCTTTTTTTTTCTTCTAAGTATGATTGGTTTGTACCATTTTATCCGTCAATCAAACATGTCATTGCCATCAGACCAAGAACTAACTATTCCTAAATTATTAAAACTTTATTTTCATATTAATCTAACATTATTATTTCGAAAAATTATTTGTAAATCTTACTCTTAATTAAAATTAACTTTATTTAAGTATTAATAAACTTTGATGTGTCCCTTTAACTATAAAACTTCAAACTAAGTTTGACCTCTTGACCTAACTCGATCAGTAATGGACAATTTTAGAATTACGTTCATGTTTTTTTAATTTCTACATTGTTATCTTATATTTCACCGTCAGTAATGTGACCTTTTTGACCTAATCATTATAATCCACCCTTTTGTATGTTAGTCAAAAACCAATACATGAAACAAGCCCATGGTTACTTATTCCACATTAGTATTACATGTATATAAACATTATTTAGAATCATGTTCAAAGCAAGTGACGTGCACTTCACTCCCTCGGAACACCAGTCTTTATTCTATAAACAAAACAATTAGAACATACCTAACTATATCCTATATATTATATTAATGCAATCCGTGACTTTTACACACGTCAAATTTAACACAGTGTTAGAGCCTATTGTTTATAATGATTCGACCTCAGGTCAAATTACACATTCTAATCCTTGCGTACATGTCGACAGCTTAAAGCAATTAGCAGTATATATTAAACGTTAATATTACGTTTCTAAAGCAAAAATTTAATTACATAAAATTATATACGGACAAAATTTACCGTATTCCTCCACTTTCCTAAAAAGTGTCGTATTCTTACTTTAACCTCATATTAAACTCATATTAATGACTTTGCGATAATCTCACAATTTAACGAGCCAATGATTTTAGTTTTTCCCCAGGAAAACTATAACCAACATCCCTAGATGAACCATATGGGATTTTCAACATAACCTAACTTTTTAATCAAAAGTTAAATTACAACAACTCTAAGGCCTGGACTAAGGGCCTTAAAATTATATAGTATACGAAACAACAAAAAACACAAATTAACGAATCACAGTAGAAACCACGGCCAACTAGGAAACTAGAGTTAATCACTCACAAACGTCATCCTTAGATCTGCCGTCTTCCCACTGCGATCCGGAGACATTAGTTCCTTACTTTATTCCCTATTCCGTTTCCTTATTATTCCTTAGTTATATTAAAACATTTTTTTTTAAAACCTACTCCCTAAACTTTCTCTTTAACTTTAATTTTACTACAAATTTACTACAGGTCATGTTAACCTGGCAATATAGATACCTATAGCCAGTGACATTATATTGTTTAATAAACCTATCAATCTAAACTTATGAATGACTCTAATGTATTTCCTACAGTTAAATTTTAAATATTTAGATTCTAATCAGATTTTAACTTTAAATTAATATTATTTGGTCTTTAAACAAATTTAACACATTTAATTTACCAAACAAAATGTATTTACCCAATTTTTGGAATATCTCCACCAGATTTTTTCCACCAGAATTTTTCTGTTGCTGGATTGTACAGGTTTTCTTCGTAACGTCTTCAAATATGTATTCTTCTTCTAAAGTGACTTCTTACCTCAAAGGTCGAAACTGCGTTAAGGCATCAAATCGAATATGTAAGACTATGCAGTGCTATGCAGTCACTGGTTAGATGTGGAAAATATGCCGGGAGAACTTCCCACATCCAACGTGTGATGCATACTCTCTTTTCTTCTAATCTTCTTCCAAATTTTCTGCTTACCCTAAAGGTCGAAACTGTCACGGCAACCAAATAGAATATGTATTCTTCTTCCAGGTTACTCGATCTCTTAGTCACGTGCACCAAATAGAATATGTAGCACCATGAGCCTTCTGTCTGACGTGGAGAGCGTCTATGGGAAACCGGTCGCCACATCCTACATACAACCCATGCATCTTTTCTTACTACATATTTCTGTAGCCTTGTGATCGTCTAGAATTTGTCTCTAGCTGTCTTTACTTCTGCTTCACGTTGTGTATTTACTTCTCACAGTTTCTTAAGACGTCTGTCTTACCAGGAATAACAATACGACAGTTTGCTTCTACATATTTTATATATATATATATAGCTGAATACAGGTATACAAGCATAGCACAAATTACAATACTATATAGCTAAAACCACTTCTCCACCCTATCCAGCCTCTCGGCTGTCTAGGAACTCAGATGTACTCTCGATCTCTGGAATCTAATGCAAGTCTGACTTACAGGGTTCCCCGGTTTCTTTTAAAGGTAAGTGAATATCATGCACAATAACGCGTGATCATGGCCCTGAACTTGTGTAATTAACAAAATGATTGGTTACTTTAAATCAAATGATGCAATTAGAATAATTCCACTCACGTGTAATTCTGGTGGTAAATGAGTGACATATGTTTTCGATAAATAACTCTTTTTTATGTGTCAACTGTCAATTACAGACTAAGTTGATTTAAGTATTTTAAGTACATATCACATATTATGCGAATATGTTATTTCTCGAGCAAAAATTCTACTAAAAGTATTACAAGTGACGCAATATATCTAGCTGATCAAATTAGGAAATACGTTGCAAGAAAATGAACATGTCTATCTCTATATACGGAAATTCACACTTTGATTCGCCAGTCACCAAATTAGGCATACATACCATGCATATCTCTGGCATAATTTAAACCAGTCAAATAACTACTAAATCGCTCATCCCAGAAATCAGGGGTATAAAAAAATCACTGAGTGGGAGTCTAATCAGAGATCATTCGGTGACAGTATGTAGCATTTTCAGGGGTTAGACTATCTAGCTAGAGTGGGTTGAAGGAGACCGAATGATGTTTGAATTTTTTACTTGTGTATTTGTTATATCAAAGCTGCTATAAACTATTGCATTCGAGATTATTCTGCTTAATAAAAGATTAGAAGAGCAATGTGTTCCTGAGTTTTTCATCATAATAGAGTTATATGTTTTGGTGCCGTTTTGCGCACAGTTTAGTACACAGTTGTGTTACACACCAACACTTCCATTTTCGAGATGCATAACGCCATAGAAAGAGAAAAAGCTAATCATCAAGGTTCGGGCCATTTAGGATACCAACATTTCCATGATTCGCATAAAATCTTAATTTTCTGTTGAAAAAAAGAGACTAACTTTGATATATACCTACCATCTGATTGCGTGCCAGAATCGACTCGCACACAGCTGGAATTTTGCTTTCCAAACGCTGGTCTTGGTACCATCATCGATTGCCGAATATTTCTCTCTGGGTGGAATATTATTATATGCACTTTAGGTGTAAACATACAAGCTAATGTCACAGTAGCACTTAAACTAATGGAAAAACACATAGTTGCTATACGAATTTCAATGTTATGGGCAGTGCTAAAATAGATAGCCACAAAGGCTAGCCATATAACACAAGTCGTGTACATAGTGAATCCGATATATTTAGATTCGTTAAAAGCTTCTGGAATCTTTCTAGTTAATACTGCATAAATTGTGCATATCACCACTAAGCATATAGGATAACTAAAGCCTATCATATAAGTACTGCCAATGGCGGAAGAACACACTAATTGATGGTCAGCTCTGTTAGAATAATAAGGAACGGCTTCTGGGGGACTAATTAAGATCCATATTAAACTAATAACTGTCTGACAGGCCACTAATGCTCCACATATTACTAATTGTGATTCGGGACTAATAAACTTGGGTCGTTTAGTAGTCCGTCTTCCGGCCTGAAATATACGAGAAATCCGATTTGTTTTCGTTAGAATTGCTGCATAACACACCGAAAAACACAATCCGATTCCAATTTTTTGAGCACCACAAGTCAGCGTCATAGGTTTAGAAACTAACACGAACGTCATTGAATAACACATAAATATTCCCCCAAGTAGAACGAAGCTCAGCTCTCTCCCCGATGCCTTCACAACGGGCGTTTCTCTGTGACGATAAAATACGATAGCTACCCAAACGGTAATTATAATCCCAAGCGATGAAAGTCCCATAGCACTGACAGAAATTCCATCGTTGTAGCGAAGGTACTTCTGAGGAATTAGAACACAAAAACTTTTGTCCAATGCTGCTATGGTACCCATAGGACAAGCAATACAGGCATTTCTGGTGGGAAGATATTCAAATGTTGAGCAGTCTTTACACGTCCAACAACATGGGTCATGTCCTATTATAGCTTGTATATTGGTACATGGTCTAGAACATACTGATCTAGGGTGAAGTGGTTGGTCAATACGAAATATAGGTGGGGATGACTGAAAAAAAAGGATTTTCAAAATATAAGAGTATATATCTTTAGCCTATAGGTGAAGCATTGAAAGATGTATTATATGCAAATAATGAATTAACGGTGCTCAAGTCTTTTAACCTTTTACTTGTTTGGTTAACTACAATTGAAACTACAATTCTGAAACTCTTTTCATTATGAGTCATTAAAATTACGGGCTTCATGGTGACTCTGTTGTACTAAATATAAAACAGATTATTATAATAGAAGACCATATCTATGTCTTGCAATACATTAAAGTTACAACTATTATAAAGAAACCCTTTTCTGTGCTCATAACTGTAAATTCCATTATCAGTAATTACAGTTTATATAAGCGTTTTAAATAATAATTAAACAGCACAGGACTATACCGAAAATGGTATGTCATCGGACATGGTATTAATTTCTAACACCACCTTTAAAGACATAATAGATTTAATACTTTTCAGCACCTCTGCCCACTCTACAGTTAACGTTAAGGTGATAAACAAAAACATACTATAGTAAGGTTTCCATCTCTAAAGAATCCGATTGTAGCCCATTCATATTCTCCGGGAGAAGTCTGTCTAAAATTCAATATCCGATAACGTGATGGCCCATCTCCATTTGGTAAAAACTGAAAATCTTGCCCATTCATGCCTGTAAAATTTAAAAAAATATATGGATATATATTTACATTCCGTGGCTTTAAATCTGATTACGATTCTATGGGCACCATAACATACGTTTTATAAACGTCATTAAAGATGCATTATGCATAATTTAGATAAAGAGTTGACAGTTCTCGCTATAATAGTTAAACATAGATAATGAAAAGGGAATATGTTGAAAATTTCAGTTAGATAACTCCATTCTGAGCGGAGTTATCGTCAATTGCAGAACAGTGTAGTCACGATTGTCGTTGCTACCGTTATTACGATAATAAACAAAGTCTCGATTATCCACTTTTAAATTAAATCATTAACTGCAAATCGTATTTAAATCTGTTGAAAATCTAGGTATCCGATGGCATCGCGAGTTGATTATGGTCTTGGCAAGTTAATAATGTCTAATTAATAATAATTATATAACATTTAAGGCCTAAAGTAAGACCTTGAATAATGCATCTTCAACAGAGAAATGAGCGTGTACGTAGTGCATGCGTAAAATAGTACGTCATACACCCCTGCGTTTCTTACGCGTGCGTGAAATACTAATTCGTGCGAGATTGACCAACTTCAAACGTTTCTGTTCCAGCTGGGCTAATAAAGATGGGCAAACGTCATGCTATGAGGGGAATTTTGTCCGGACAGCGGTATTACAGCCTACTGTCAAGGGTTCTTATACATGCACGCCTGTGTGTACACTAAATCTGGGTTTTTCGTCACACTCGAACGACTATGCACTGTACGTTGTCAGGCCCTCCGTTCTACATCACTAACGAAGGGAAATCATGACGGAAAATCCAGATGAACTCTCTCGGCAATACTATATACCGGAAAACACCGAAAAACACCGGAAAACTACCGGAAATCACCGGAAAAACACTAAATACCGGTAGTTTTCCGGTGTTTTCCGGTATATAGTATAGCCAACTCTCTCGGCCAATACCGTGGCTCCTGTGGAACACGTGTTTTACCACTATAGTACAAAGTTTCATACAGACTTTACACAAAATGTGATTTGTTGTGGACGCATTCTTTCCCATATCACCTGTCTGAAATAACCGAACACAGACTTTCTATATGAAAAAAATATAATATAATAAAATGATATAGAGTTAACGTTTTGCCCGGGGATCGGCGCTATGTCCTTTTTTTATTTCGAATTCCAACGCTGAAGGGTTCTTTTACGCGCACGCCAATGTTTGCATGGGAGCCAAATGAAAGAAAAAAAGACCAATAATAAAGAATAGCCATTACTAAATTGCTTTGCACTCTTATGTGGTTGATAAATGATTTGTTAACGTAAAGATCATTTCGGAACCTGGATCACGATATCGCAATTTATTTATGTTAAATTGCTAAAGTCAACCATTTACCTTTAACATTCGACTAGAAACAAACCAGCACTACGAGGATTTAGCAAATCTAATTTCTATATTTAACCATTAACATAACCCATTACGTCAAAACCCAATGTAAATAATCAAATACCAATCACTGTCCTTGTCGATTTGAGCGTCTATAATAGGCAACAATGATACTTTGTCTTGTAGCTATTAAATCTTATCAAACATCCCTTGGAAGCTTTAAATTTCCGTTAGTGCTTAGTGAAACCATGGAATAAGCTTTCAGGGATTTAGAATAACAGATAAACACAACACGATCTCGTACTTCTATTAGCCTTAAATATATAAATCAAACCGCATACTGACTTCCAATAACCACAAGACAGGCTGTTCGTACGAGTTCACATTTTTTATGGAGTTAAAAAAAATGCAATAGTTTTTTTATCAAATGCATCAAGACCATGGTGTAAGCTCGTACATCAAAATCCAACTTTCCAGAATGCAATTTGGTTTAGTGTACATATTACTGCGTAACCCATGGGGTTCTTTGACATTGGGATGAATCCTGGGAATCCGGAGATAGCTGGATGAGGTTCATACCCCTCGCAGTGTTTCGTTTGATTAGGACTAATCCCACTAAACACTGCTGTAATGGAAGCAAATTTCTGTTCCAAATTATGACTGGCCAATATCCCGATTAACAACCAATAGCTAACTGCATAACAATATTATTACGCTTTAAACTGAGCTTCAAACAGAGGACCAAATATTATGTTTACATAACGTTACGTCATGACTCACGATTTTAATACGCCCAGTTAACCAGTGCATAGCAGAATATTGCAGAAAAACTAATTGCGTGACAAACTAGGTTATTAAAACGGATACAATGTAAACAATACTGTTTGGAGACGAACAATACTTTCACTGTTTTTAATACCTCAAATCACTGTCCGAAGTTTTAGGGAAAACCCCAGATAAAGCGAAGGGCTGTCATATTGGTGTATTTGGGATAGATTTGATTGAACGGGAAGAATAGACACATTCCCTCAAAAGCTCAAGTATCAGGAGCCAAAACAGCAATGGTCAGAGAGGGATTTCTCGGGCAATTGCTTCAGGAATATGGATGAGGTTAGGAATAAAGTAATTATTGGTCAGTTCGAAAATCCACAATCAGACAAATCCCATTTCATTCCGTTTTTATAGTTCTGAACTTCGATTTACTTACATTCATTACACCACTTAGTGAAGGCCACCGAAAGTATAAAGCAGAAACGAAATATAGATACGTATTATGTATTTTAATCAGATTTAAAAATCCACAGCGTAACGTGTTGGCCACGTTTATTACTTAAAGGAGCTAAATCACTAATATTTAGAACCTAGAAATTGACAAAAATGGGTATTATAATGTAACATGTATGTATATAAACGGATTTAAATTCAATTGTTTCCGATTTTACTCTAATATCAAATCAGCTATGTTCGGCGAAATACGCCAGAAGTCTCAATCGAATAGCAACCTCTAGCATCTGGTTATTCCAGTCTACACCGATAGTATTTATTGCGCATGCTCTCGAGATAAGATTATGGCTTCACCGTTTGACATAACTTGTGAAATATGTCTAGCCTCGTTCGTCAAGTCGCTTGTTTCACATGACACTGAAACGCATTATGGTACACGATTCGTGTACCAATTGTAAAATGTTTATTTTGTCTTCAATATTGGATATTATATCAGAAGCCCATCTTTTCCCCGAAAGATCACAACATCAGTGTTGATTTAAATTGACAAATAATTCGTGTTTTCAATGTCGAAGACTTTAGATGATATTTATGTTAGAGACTTGGCTACTTTAAGCTATTGTCAAGGAAAGTGGTATTATATCAAGTGTAGAAATATTCATGCTTGCCATCTTGCTCTTTTCAATGTCTTTTGGATATGATTTTAATGTGTTCTGCTTTAATCGATGTCTCAAGTTGAAGATTTGCTGCACTTTTGAACTGAAGGTTAATTAACGTGCAAATATATCCATTAACATTGATTTATTGTCAAAATGTTCCCTTTCTTGTATCGTCTTAGGTTATATATTGCTAAATTTTGATGTATATGTCACTTTCTATATGTTGACTCCTGACCATTATTAAAGTGGTACATGTACATAGATTGCTTTTCTACACGTTTATAATTAAATAAATATATATATACATTTATTAATATCAAGACTAAAATATCGAATTGTAATTTCATTTTTTTTCATATTATATATTTGGGTAGATGAGTTTACAGGATCACCGGGTTCTAAAGGAGGAATCCCAGTGAATAAAAATGGTTAAATCTTTATGGGCGAGATTTCTAAGAATCCTGTATCCTAGTTCCAGGAGGGGCTTCCTCCCAGTGTTCCTGAATAGGGTAAACAAAATGTCAAAGTTATAATTCATCGTTTATATTTCTTCTACTAAATGAGGGTTTCGGGAATAAAAAAAATCATAGAGGGCGCACTGGTGTCGACGTTCGTTGATGCCCGCCCCCCTTTCCAAACACGCACACAGTCGCAGATTTAATCGTGTGTTAGTCACGACAAGATCGTCATCTTGTGTTGGAAACTTGTAGGTTTTCATGGTTTTTAGAGGCAGGTATATCAGCATCAATTACATATAACAATCAATAGGTATAAAGTTAGGACATCTGTCATCCTTGAGTTTCTACGAGCTTTAATTGGTGTTAAGTTTTTCAATAGTTTGAGAAATATATGTCTGACTAAAATAATTAAGATTTATTTGTTATATTATAGAACTAATATATTTGGACATGTCATCGATTTCGATAAGTCCGAGATGTATTATATAAAATAAATCATTTTGGAAAAAAAAATCACCAATATTTAATGGCGGAAACTCAGGCCCATAGTGCTAAACGATTAAGATGGATCCCGCGTACTAAATGGTTTTGATAAGGTCACAAAGTTGAAATAATTATTAGATAATAATAGAAGTTGTCAATTGAAAATAAAGAAGTATTTAAATCAATAGAAAATACTAGACATTCTAAATCTAGAAAAGTCATCTAATTTACACTAAAAAATATATATCAATCAAACCATCAACAGTCTGGCCACAGACGAATCTATTTAGATAAACGAACAATAGATTCCAGTGTGATATATAAACAGACGACTTGGTTTGAAGGCTAAATACAATTGTGAAATGTTAAATCAAGCAAGCATATTTCTATTTATTCGTTCAAGCTCAACTATTGAGATTGTTAAAATCCTTCAAAGTTCGATCGAATGTTGGCGTGTTACTCGTCAATCTAACGCTAACATAGTATTACATAGAACATATTCTGAAAACGTTTTCCAAACACAATGTAGAAGCTGATATATATGGAATCGATAAGGTCAATGGGTATTTGTATAGGTTTCTATATGGCTTATTAACGACATGGTACACATTAACCTTTACAGACGGATTAATTGAAGAATTTTAATCATTTTATTTTCTGGCATCGGGGCGATTTAATGTAATGCGATAATTTAACTGATATTATTATTACACTCCGTCACTGGTTTGTTTGTTACAGGGGATGGGGCAGGGGTAGGTGGCGACACATAGCGATTTGGGGCATTTCCGATCAGAATGGGTCATTATTCTTATAATCTGTGTCCTAGTATACTCATCTTGTTAATTCTATAACACAGTTTGAATATATGCAAAAAAAACAACCATTAAGCACCATAAAAAAAATCAAGACAATAGTCGATAGACATCATATAATCAATCCCCTAATAGCAAATTATATTAATTTTTTTTTAAATAATAAGCACTCGCTGCCCAACGCGCGACTATAAAATCAAATAAATTGTGCAGTGCCAGAAAATAAATATAAATATATAATATAACAACATTTAAAGGCGATGTTAAATAAAATTATGTTCAGGTGATGGACATAAATGTATTAAAGCAGATTTCAGTTTAGTTTGTAAAAACGTATGTCTCGGGGGTTTAGATGTTTCAAAACAATTATAGCCAAAAGTCACCATGAAGTGAATAAGCCCTGACTCCGAGAAATGATATTATTGTTTGCTAAAGGTACCTTTTTTTGCAAGATAATAGTTGATCGTCTTCGCAAGTATAAATAAAAACAATGTTTTGCAACAACAATGTGACATGGGATTTTATTGTTTTGCGAAGATGGTTTTTGCAATGCATTATAAATATAAAACAGTACAAATATAAAAGTTAAACAGCACGGTATATCTGTGGTAATGAAATAGTTATTATAAAAGGTCTAGAGATTTATAAAGGTTTTAAAACTGTCACTCTTATAGCACCCATTTACAAAAGTAAGGTTGGAAAAAAAAATAAGAAGATAATTTGAATGTATCCAACCTTCTCCATAAAATCGAGGGCTAATTGACTTACTTTTATTTTTTATTTGGCCTACATTTTATGAACTATCAATTTTCGCAACCCTTCAATTGTTTTAGTACTAAGGATAATAATTTGGAATCTTGCCCCAGAGGATATGGTGTTTCCATTCTTTGCTGCAATCCTTAATTATTATTAGCATAGTATTTAGGTTAAGGTCCAAATATTATTCAAAAACATCCGCAACGATATTGACTTAATGTACTGATGATTTAGGAAAGGAAGGAAACCAATTTGCCGGTGTAATCTAATGTATTGTTTTATGTCCATTTTACGTCGTATTGCAATAACTCTGCTGATTGGTACCATAAAAATTCGCTCAACCAAAATATACTGTCATCTACAGAACCAAACAGATAATAGATTGGAGTATATTACAGCGATTCATTGTCCCCACAGGTCGAAGAAAATGCGTTAATTTACGCTCCGTTCAATTATTGTCATTGTACCAACTGACAAATTGCTTTGAATTCAGCAGACATTAAACTAAAGCATCATACTTCAAAATAAAGCTAAGTGTCCATAAATCAATATTTATAATAACTTGTTTCAAATAAAAATTAAATTATACCAATTCAGATTAACAAAATATACAATCCCAACCCCGCCTTCAATTTCAAACAACTTTTTTTGCCATGTGAGTTTAGGAATGTGCAAGTTATATGTATTTTGTATGTGTGTGTGTGATGGCGGTAGACTTAAAGCGAGAATTCCAAATTTTCTAAGAAAGTCAAAACATAATTATTTCTATGTATTTTGCTCAATAGGTTGTCAAATCACTATTATACGATCATAGGCATTATTTCCCACCCTTAAAAATCATTGACACAGGAAATAATAACACAATTACCTCCCTTGCTTTCCTATTGACTACATGGACTAGCCATATTCAAACGTTCGAATTTGAAGTTGAAAATGATATTTTTGCCAATTTCTTAGCTGGCAATAGTGAATTATAGGATTAATAGGATTATTATTTAACAAGGTAGGACTGTTTATGGATACCATCTATTTTAAGGCTTTATTATAATTAATTTTCAAAATATAACTTAAAAATTTGTAATTGTAGCTTTAAGGCACTAGAGGTTAAAAATGTGTCAGATATTACAAGGATATCTGTATTCTCCTGTTCATGCCGCCCGGTCCTTCCACTCTAGGCCGCCTATGCCGAACAGTAACACATACAACCGTCACTAAATAGTGGGTGACACAGAACTAATCAAATTCCCTTTGGCACATCTGTAAGGATCTATCGACTGATACAGATGCGTTCAAGTTAGATATACACCCGAGCTCTTGACCCCGAGGTCGAGGTCAGTAACTGGCTTACACACGGGACTGTGTAAGACGTTGCATGAGTGATTGAAAATGGACGGCTACTACATAGACGCAATTTTATCACAGGCCCTTTATCACCCAAAATCGGTTTTCCAATTCATCTATAACATGCAAAAATACATTAATTAATTATACGTCATGTATTGTTTACTCAGAAGATGTTTGTGTGTTGGGGGGAGGATGGGGCAATAATCTGAATATAGCAAGTTTATACTTGTTTATTTACGATGTATACAAATCAGATCATGTCCAAAGTCAGGTTTTTGAAACATAATTTTAAGAAATTTGAATTGGTATACGTATAAATGTATTTTAAGCCTATTTGTTGATTTCAAGTTTTCGACACTTGAAATGTGGTCATATGTTGTCGTCGACTTCGTGTGTCTGTCCGCCATCCACGCTCTACAGGCTAAAGTTAATCTGCGACTGACTTTAAATTTATCACAGTTAAGGTCATGAGACGAATTACCTTATTGATTTTCAATTATTGCCGATAATTACTTCCAGAGTTATCGCCATTGATATTAAATGTTTTGTATACTGAACGTTAGTATTGGGCAGAGCTAGACGCCAAACAAATTCTAATGATTTCTGAATTTTCTGATAAATACTTAAATTGATTTTTACTCGTTTTAATGTGCTATAAATGTTTTCATTACTGACAAAAAAAATAAAAATGCGACAACCCTTGTTGACAGCTCGGCCGACTAAGCTGCTGTGGACGTATGTTTCGTTGCCTGACAACCTAGTTAAAATCTACAACAAGCCAATAGATAATGCAATATTAATGTGGTGGGAACGGGGTATGCTGCATTGACTGGAATACATTTTACATTCATGATTCGCTAGCCACAGAATAAACTAACCATATGAAAAAGTGAAAAAAAAAAAAATGCGACAACCCTTGTTGACGGCTCAGCCGACTTAGCTGCTGTGGACGTATGTTTCGTTGCCTGACAACCTAGTTAAAATCTACAACAAGCCAATAGATATAATGCAATATTAATTTGGTGGGAACGGGGTATGCTGCATTGACTGGAATACATTTTACATTCATGATTCGCTATAGCCACAGAATAAACTAACCATATGAAAAGGTGAAAAAATTAACATGTGGTAATGGTATATTAGTTAAAATAGACACCCAAAAGGAAATATTTTTCAATTATTTAAAAATTTATCCCAGTTTGCTGGGTTTTGTGTATTTGTTCCTTACTATTGGATGGGTTTTCTAGCTAAAGTGACTATTTCACCAACTATAAAGTCATTTCCATCAAAACCTTAAAAAAATATTTATTTATTGTTAACTACATGTATTTATCATTTTGAATTAGCACGATGTTTCTTGTTATTTCTTATACAGGGCACGCATGAAAATGTATGGTCTATTGTCCACAATCATCGGGTAGATATGTTGGGGTGCTCATCTATGAACACCTACTTTTTCTCAAATGATCATCTGTGCACGTGCTGAAACAACAGGTTGATCAGTAATGAATGGTCTTTTTCCACAATCAACGGTTGGTATGTTGGGGTGTTCATCTATGAACACCTACTTTTTCTCTATCATCTGTGCGCGTGCTAAAACAACACATTACAGGTTGATCAGTAACTTGAACACCCTAGCACCCGATTCAGAATAAAGGGTCTAGTGAGTGTGTAAATAGAAAATAACTACACGAACATTCTACGTGCTCTATGCAGTGTCTTTGCAATGCAGGGAAGATTATTTTTTAAAGATGTAAAAATATGATATATCTTACTTTTAAAACTAACATCAAGAAGATATCTTCGAAACGTATTTCCATCTATAGGATCCATGGCTGGACATAAACCGAATCTCCCTCCACATAAATCTCGATGCATGTTCTACAAAATATATAAAGAAAATTCCCATAAAATACACACGCACACAATACGCAAAAAATAACGACTAGAATATACATGGTAACCACAAAGCGTCTAAAATATACAGATATATCGAAATTACGGTATGCAAATCGTCTATGAAATATACAGAGAACCTCTGCTATACATAAAAAAATCCCTCTTTAAAAAATGCAAACAAAGTTTAAATCGGCACTCCAACGAAAACTCATTACTGACAATCATAAAACAAAAAAATAATTGCATCTCACCCTTGCGGCATAAGCAAAAGCTAAAACTCCATCACTAACAAACTGTAACTGAGCTTCCAGTTCAAATCCGTTACTTTCATCTACACGTTCCTTGCCGGTACATGTTGAATTATATTCCTCATTAAGTGGCGTCCACAAACTCCCCGGATATTTACATTTAAAATGATGTTCCCAGTATTCTATAAACCAGGGGTTACGTTTATTTGTATCTGGTCGCAGATTCATAAAGTAGTTTTTGAAACCAGGAACCTCTGCTGCTAAAGGCTGAACGGTTATGGCACCTTCAACCTTAAAGAGTAGAAAAATACATGCATATCAAAATAGATCGCGGACTTCTTTGAACAATGTGATGGGTTACTGACTTTAGTTTATATCATTTTTGGTTTAACTCCTTAGTAAGTCGTGGAAGAGTGGTTGCGGTCGTAAATGGTCGTAAACGTCACTTATGACCCAAATAACCTTTTTTGCATAGGATCACTAACCATCATTTTGCTTTTAAATTTATGACGTCGATATATCTTGCTGATTTTATCCCCCACCTCAATTGAAATCTTAGAGTTCAAGGATCTAATAGGAAGGCTGTGCTCGTTAGATTAATTAATTTTGTGCATGCAGAATATAGCTGGTGTTCAAGATTCCGGGCTCTTGTAAAATGGAAACTCTCTTTCAAAAACATTACGATGAGCTTTCGTATGCCCAAAGTCTCGTTCATATTCATGTGCGGAGGTTATCAGATTCAGGGGCAAATAACTCGTCTGAAACCTTTTTTAATTTTCTCCAAACCAACTCTGTTCAACTAACCACTTTTATTTACCTATTCTCTAGGATCACTGTACTTTTACCAAGACCGCTTCCACGAGAAACATAATTCCACGGGTTTAGTCGAAAGAGGATATTATACTTGCCGAACTATTGGAGAAAATTATACAGTGCATAGTACAGAGTGTTTCTTGACTATACTATTTGCGGATCGAATGAGAAGAGGTTTTGGAAGGGTTATTTGCCCCTGAATTTAATTATCTCCCTTATTTACAAATATGAACGTAACAGACTATAGCCTTAGCTTTAGGTTAAGAGATTTTCCATTTTACAATCGCCTGTGTTCCAGACCAAATCAGAAACACCAAGGGAGACACTATGATATTTAGACGGATAAAAATATCTAGTTTCAGAAAAAACTAAACAAAATATGATACATATATATAAATGATAATAATAATAATAAAAACATCAAGATGGCTCTTAATTTAAGGATGGCAGTAAAATATAATATTTATTTTTATTCCTGCTGTTAGAATTGTGTTATATTATTTCAACTAAATGGCTATGCTTATGACAGCATAATATTGATTACCTCGCTTTCTTTCCCTTTATAAGCCAGACCTCTAGCACCCCATCCGTCACTTCCTATCCATGTAAAAGCTCCAGATGCGTCCATTCTTTTTACAGCTTTCATAAACTCCCCCACTTCCTGATCTGAACCAAATACGATCACACCTAAAATAAACATTTATAATTTTCATACCGACTGTGGAATACACTGCCTAGAGGTGGAATACACTGCCTAGAGGTGGAATACACTGCCTAGAGGAGGTTACCCTCTACAGGAAATACTAAACACGTCCAAATTATCGTCCTACTTATGGGGAAGAAATCTATATTTCGCAGATTAAAAGATTCGAATATCCGAACTGTCCTTTTCCCTAAAAATATAACAACAGTTTTACTTTGGCTAAACAACTATGTATTCACAACAATTTGAAATTTAAAAACTGTTTTAAATAGTTTATACATCTTATTGAACGCAAAAAGGGTCAAATTAGCAGTTTAATTCCATTTCTATCAGAAATTGTTGGCAGAGGTCAGTTGCTGTAATGCAGTTCTACATTTATAAGAACACATGCTGGATAGGGAAAGGGACTATTCCATTGTTTTAACTACTGCTTATATTTTATATCTGGTAATATAGCCCGGTTGGTGCTGGCGTGCCATTAACCACCATTTCATTCATTATTAATTTATATTCTATATAGCAGCTACGGATGACAAACGTGAAAAGTAATGACGCCTTTTAATTTTCTAATAAATAAAGTCCAATAACTGACTACATATATAGGAGGCAGACCACCATTCAATTTCACCAGTTCGTCTATTTATAGCAATTCTCTCTCTCTCTCTCTCTCTCTCTCTCTCCTCTTCTCTTCTCCCCTTTTGCATGCCAATTTTTGTTGATTTTTTGGTCTAGAATCATCGAAGAGGGTTTGAATTAACATGTTCTGCCAGGTTTTGGTAAATATTCATGATTTTGAGGCGGAAGGATAACAGGGTTATCAGGTTAGCTACGGCGATATGTACGGCAACTAGTTACATGTTTTTAGTATGCTTCTTCAAGTTTGTTTATCTCAAAATTTTTGGTGGTCAACCTCATACAAATTTTAGTGCAAAGACATGACCATTTGTTCCTCTGTCTGTAGTGAAAAGCATTCAGCCCGACGAAAATTTTGGGAAAAGTTGGAGGTGGGCAATTGAAGTCAATGGGGGAAATTAATGGTGGTCTGCCTCCTGTATCCAGCAGTACCTTTAGCAGTTCTCTTCTGTAGTAATCTAAAGACGACTTTATCATATTCTTCATTCACGGCTACTCCTGAATCTTTCATTAGTTTCTCAGCAGTTGCTAAACACACCCCTGCCTCCTTTAAAAGCTTATCCACTTCGCTGAAACCCTGTAAAAACAATCATATTGTATAATATTATGTTGTATTACAAAACTTAAACATACATTATGCAAGAGCTAAATCTTCCTATTACAGGTCTTTCTTTAGGCCTGAAATGTCATCTAAATTATCAACTCTCGATGCCATGGCTATCCTGTGATATTTACTGGATTTGAATTCATTTTGTGAGGGATGATTTGAAGTCAAACTGGATAATCGAGACTCTGTTTTTATCGTACCGACTTTAGTAATGATAATCGAGGCTAGGCCTAAAATTCAATTGCTAATATCTCAGTTCAGATTGGAGCAATTTGACTGAAGTATTTATCATATTCTCTTTACATTATCTATTTTGTAACTATTGTAGGCAGAAGTGTCAGCTCTTTATCTAATCTCCCATAATGCCCCTTTAAAGGGTGTTATCAGTTTCGAGCGTTTGGTCACTACGGAAAATTTGAGATATATATGATAGTTAATCCAAAAGGTATTGGTGTTGTGCAAAATGCTTTCTCTAAGTATTTTAGCCGAGCCTATTTGTGAACTTGATTTTATATACAACTAATTAGACATATTTCCGGGCGAAACCTATAATGCCCTTTTAACGAAATAAAGGTGTAAATCCGGTTGGTCCCGCCAATAGACATACAGTTTGTTATGCATTAAAAAAAAACAAAAAACAAAAAATACCAGTCAAGTTGCATTTAAAAAATTCAGTCAAGTAGTCGCATATATCACTTTCAATCACGTTTTATACAACGTTCAATCAAGATGTATATAACATTCACTCAAGTTGTATATAACGATCAACCAAAGCGTACATATAGCATTCAAAATAAACCCAGTCCACCAGTTCCAGTAACCTTTGTCATTCAAACATTATATGTTATAATTCTAATCATGTTATTTCCGCAAATAATCTTTTTATACATCTTATATAAAACAAATCAAAATGTGAAAAATTGTAATTCAATAGAAATTATTTTAATCCCCGAGGCCAATGTCTTATAATCTGAATTTTTAAAAATGATGTAAAATGTTAAGCTGTTATCAGAGATCTTCTATTAAAGAAGAAAACACAAGCTAGAAAGATTGATAAAAATGTTATATTAAGAAGACAATCTATCAGATTTTTTTCACAAATGACAATGTTTCACTTGTTCATTCGGACAAACCGCATTGTTATATTCCAAATACGCCCCCCCCCCATCCAGTGGCGGCGCCCCCCCCCCCCATTAATCTGGTCTGCCCTCTGTTTACCCCTCCCCAATAATTTTAGAAAATAAAAAAAGGAATTTGTGATACGTTTCGGTAATCAATACCTTCTACGGTGAATAAATCCCACATCCCCACTCAGTCATAAACTTGCATGTTGTAGAGCATTTCCGACAGTCTATTTTTCAAAATTTTCTTGGCGAGGTCCCCAATGGACTCGCTGCTTTGGCGCTCACAAGGAGAATTCGTTGAGGTTCGCAAGTCCGTTCGTTTGACATTTTGTTCTCTAGTAGGATAAACTAGTGATCAGGCGAAGGACGGTATCTGGTCAGATCTATTTATCTCGACGATCGGTGCCCGGGAATACTGTAAGACAGCATTTCCGGCAGTCTATTTTTCAAAATTTTCTGGGGGAGGACTCCCTACTTTGACGCTCGTGAGTGGGCTTCGTCGTGATTCGCAAGTCCGTTCGTTTGACACTTTACCTCATCGATCAGTGCCTGAAATAATGCCAGGCTGCATTTCCGGCAACCTGTTTTTCAAAATTTTCTGGGGGAGGCCTTTGTCCCCTTAACCTTGGACTTTGCCCCAGCTTTGCTCCTCCAATCACCGGCGGCTGCACCTCTCCCCAAACAAAACAAACTTAAAGATAAAATATATGCGATTATTTAGCATATTCTTATAAAACATATATTTGTGAATTTATAAATGTTTTATGATTTTTGGTAACTGGTTCATTAATATCATAGTGATGAGAAATAATGTCATTCAAATCAAAACTAATGGCTTTTTAAAAACATCTACTACATTTCTTCGAATGGTATTTTTTTTAAAAAACAGTGAAATCAGGCAAAACAATATTACAGATTGACTGACCCAGTTCTTAAACAGCAGGGGCCTTATTCATAAAAAAAATAAACTAAATGGTTTAAGAATGCAGAATTTTTATATCAGTTTATATCAGGATTATAACCAATGAAATAGCTGCATTCTTTAACCATTATAGTTAAAATTTTCATTAATAAGGCCCCTGGTGTTCAGCCACTGATGCAACAGAATCTACAATATTTTTTCCGTAATTTCATTTATGAGAACTTTACCGTCGCAAAATTCTAATTTAAACCTGATTAATATTGAGAATTAGTTGGTGTCAGATATTCAGCTAATAAGCATTTAATTTCACATATCAATAATATTCTAATCCAAAAGGTTATAGACGAAATTCTTTTTAAGATCAGGTTATTTTCATGTGATTATTCGTCTCTGCAGCTTATCATCAGGACATAAACATCTTAACAATATTTGTAAGAATCCAAAATTCTTCAGATGGTAAGCCACAAAATCTAT